TTTCATCTATTCAAGTATACCAGAGCGCGTCAGGAGCTGTGTTCTGCGTGTTCCTCCATCGATAAGTTGTAGGTTTGTTCGATAGCAATGTACCTCCATTAGTGCCATCTGCATCAGTCGATAGTGACCTGTGAGACAGTATTCCGTTTTTGATTCCATATTTTTTTTCCGCTGCACTTTGAAATTGTGCAGCTTGAAACGTGCATATTAACGGGCATCTTAGCGGCCTTCATCGCCTTCAACTACATTAGAACCTGATAGTCTCTGCTTACCACAAGTCCAACAGACAGCAAAGCACTCGCGCACCATTGCGCTCTTCCTTCGCAGCGTATGCTTAATCGCGAGCTGCCGTAAGCAATGACATATTCACCGTTTTAGCGCATTTGTAGGAGTACATCTTCCTCCACTACGACACTTGTATCTGCACCCAGCATGGTAGGCGGACCTTAGGACTTGATGTTGAGAAAGGCCAGTATCAAAGTCGCACTTTGGAGTAGCCCTGCATAGACATCTGCCCAAGATCTGCTGACACTGCTGCCCTTGAATCGGCTGTTGTAAATATGCCCAAATGACTTAAAATGTTACTGAGGCATGATGGATGTGCTTCCTTCCCAAGAGGAGACCAATGTGAAATCATGGTTGATATTCCAAGTATGATCTCTGGGGAGAAATAACGTTCTCACTGACAAGGAAAGTTGTAATGGTGCAAAAGCGCCGACATTGTTCCGCATTGTTCCACTCGCACACTAGTGACTGCAAATAAATAAATGAAGGAAACGCATGTCACCACGTCGAAGCTTGTTTCGAGCGACCTTTGGCGAAGATGACTTCATCGATCGAGATTTTGTACACAGAGGTGAGGATCGTGTTTGGTGCAATTCAAGCGCTTCGGTCGATGCAACATTTATTCTGTCCACCTCGCATCCTGCGGCATCACCACTTTCCTATGATGCGACTGAAAAGCACCATCAACACAATCTACATTGCGCCTTCTTCCCTTCCAACTATACATCACAAATAATTCGCCCCCTATCATTACGTCCCTTACACACACACACACATTGCTATTGGCGTCAAATTCATCTCCACACGTTGCCCTTCGATGACTCGGCAAGTGTATCACGTTTGTGCCAAGCCGACCTACTTGTTGCGACTGACTCCTTCCTTGTCCTATTTATCACTGCACTAAAAGGAGTAAAAGGCTTCAAAATGACTAAAGCCAATGGATACAATCTGATCACCCTATTAACCATCCTCATTAATGATAAGTCTAATCAAGGATCGGAAGGAAAACACACCATTCCTTTATTTCGCAGCACGAAACTTGATGTCACCCGCATCCACATTTAATTACAGGTCTGCCTTCCTACTTATTGCAAATTAGTAGATTTCCTTCCTCCTACCCACGGCATCCAGCTACTACTGCTCACCAATCACCAACTTCCGAAGCTCCATCAAGGTCATGCTGCTAGTGCCAGGTAAGATGGCCACTCCGCCCGTACTAAAGCGAAGAAGACGCTGTAAATTAGAATAGAAGTGTATTTTATGATATCAAAAGGTAAAGCAAAAGTAAAAGGGAAGTAAAGACTGCTGCGGCAGAGTAGCTGCCACAAGACTGTATATACGGATGTAGATGCGGAAGAAGAGATAAATGAGTGGGGAAAGGCAAAGGTGAAGGAAGGGGAGAAAGAGGAGATCGCCAGAAAAACCAGCTACGAAGTTGATGGCATTCCTGCGTTTCGTCAGTTTCATTGCCACCACCTTAACCACCAGTGCATTCATCGTGATCAACGAGGGAGGCAGAACACTTGGAGGAAAGGAGCCATGGCAAACTGTCGAATAGTCGTAAATTAGTCGGCTCATTTTGTACAACAAGACAGCTTATGTTGCGTCAACTTAAAATATGTTTACCCACCCATTCCCTCCAGCAGCACAACATTAATGCAGTTACCCATCTTGTTTCGAGTTGAGTGGAGTCAAACTTCGCAATGGCTTCGAAGTGGGTGAAAGCTCCATAATGGAGAATTTATACATGCTTGATTATTCTAGCGCAACTGAGCAACTCGCCACCTTGCTGCAGTTGCAATCTCCACATCGAAGAGATTTTCATAGTTTTCGTCATTTCCACGTAACCGCACTTCTCGCCACCTCGTGCCAATTCGTGGTCAATTCAAGCCGCGAAGGCTTGGTTCTCTACTGTTATAGCTAACCGTTTGCAGCGTACTTACTCGAGGCCCAAACAATCGAATGCCTAATTAATATGCAGCAGGTCGTGTATTATGGCAGCCTAAGTGTGTTCCACGGAAGTCACACACGTGGCGAAATTGTCACTTCAGGCCGCTATTGTTGCAGCCTCGCAAAGTCACTGCACATGATCATGAATCGGTGTAGCAATAAACCGTATCATGCGATAAGGCGCGACATCTCTCCTCCCCCGTCAGTAGACTGACATCTTGTGCCGCTGTATCGCTAATGTGCATGCTCACCCCGTCTACACCAACTTCGATGGATCTCTAGGAGCAGGCGTCTGCTTGACACTTAGTAACATTTGCACTGTTCGG